AACGTACCGGTTACGGTTACGTCCGTTCCTTCGGGTCCGTACGTAGTTGGTAGGTCGTGGTTTCCGGTTTTCGTTCCGTACTGTATAGTTCGTTGTTCGTAATTTTAGTTAGTAGGAGGAGTACAGGTAGGTAGGAAAGTACAAGACTCTCTCTCTCTCTCTCTCTCTCTCTCTCTCTCTCTCTCTCTCTCGTGCATGCACACAGATGCACCTCAGATGCCAACATATGCAAGCATAGGATTTTGAATGCATCAACATGCACATATACGCGAGAGAGAGAGAACCCCCACCCAAAAACTAATGATGCCTTCATCATTTGATAAAAAGACCACATTTATTTTCCTAAAACTTCCCCTGGATTCACAGAATTTGTGGGTACCTCAAAGCCTGGGGGCTTCTGCCTCTTCTGAGCTGGTTTTTCAGCAGAGAAGGCTCCTTCACCAAATAAGGAGACAGCAGCTTTGACAGACTCAAAAGGTGCTCTTGTGTCAATCTCTCCCACCTCAGCTTTAGGAGAGTCTGTCGCATTTTGATGAGCTTTGACACCCATGCTGGTTTCCCTTGTGAGGAGATCCTAACCCAAATATCCGCTGTAAATGTCATGGACTGATTATGAGGGTCATGAATTCTCAATTTGACATAAACAATGAGATGCAAACTACGTATGGGGAAGCATGCCATTATCCAATGGACTTGCCAAACCCTAGTACTATTAGAGATATCATTATCCAACAAAATGATGGGTGATGACAGAGGGTGAGACCCATCAATTGGGTATGTCCTGTTCAGGGGGTCCCATACTCCATCAATGTTTCATCATTTTTTTGATGTTGATGACCGCAAATCCTGAAACTTCATTTTTACGAGTACATGATAATCCATTTGATTTTTCTATCACATATAAAAGAGTTGTTACTTAACATTCAAAAACTAATAAAAAGTTAACATTTTCAAAAAAAATAAAACACTAAAAAACTAATAATAAACAAAAAAAATTATTACTCATAGATGCGAGGTTGAAAATTCCAAAAGCAAAGCGTTAATTAAATAATGATACACTGAAGCCATATCTCTTCAATAGAAATAAAGCAGCAGCTTCCAGTCAAAGATACATGAAAGTTATCATAGTTATTTTCATAATTAGGTTACCATGTCGTACTTCGTCACTTCATCCAAATAAATGCGTGTAATAAACAGATTTCAATCATATGTAAATGCTCAATCTATACATTCCATTTCCCCTTGTAAAGTGTATACAACCCAAGTAGGGGTGTTTCAGTATTTTGAATGCATGTATTTTATGGGAAATTATACCTCACTTTTAGTTATTAAATAATGAGAATCACAAATAAGGTATGCCATAACAATAGAGTGGATGGACGTGCAAGGTCCAGTTTTTGGACAAAATTTCCCAAAGGTGAAATGGGCAATTCCTTTCAATCGAACTAAAACCCTGGACGGCTTAGTCGATTCAGTAATTTGCAGTCCAATTTCTATTATTTGTCAACTGTTACGACTAAGATTTTTAAAGAAACCTGCAATCCTTCAAGCACTTCCATTCATGTAACGAACTAGCAACATTCCCAAGCACACCCAGTGTTTCATCACCTCGCTTACCACACCAAATTGCACCATATAACCATAAAAATAATGAGAATGCTAATTTCAACTATTTTCTATGCTTTCAAATTCACTTCTACTAAAATTGGACAATGAAGCATTGAAGGAGCAAATAACATAGTAAACGCAAGGCCTGCACAAAGCTTGGCCTAACGGCACCTAAAAGTAATAAAAAAAAAACCTTAACTACACAAATTGATTCTTAAAAGGTTTAAAACTTTAAATACAGTGAGATTTTATTAAATATAAAACACCTCAATGCAATAGAGAAGAGTCACAACATATAAAACCCACCAACTTGAGGAAATAACAAGGCACTAGACATGCAATCTATCCCAATGGCATGCGGCAACAAGCACATAATCCTTCTATAATACCTCCAAGAAAAAACTTCAAATGTACCATATTTCCCATCAGGGTCTAGACTCCACAATATGGATCCCATGAAGTGTTAATAGCACCCTCTTTAGGGCACATCTCGAATCGAATGCTTAGAGAACCTCTACAGCCAACTGAGACAGTTCCTCGACAACACATACCAGTCCATTAATTTTCTTGGAAGAAATACCAGCCCATTAACCATAAATCATATTATCATATCAATAAAAGACAAATTTTGATATGTTGTTTCACTTACCCCTATCTAGTGACAGCAGAAATATTCCAGGACTTCTATCTCATGAACAAGCCAAAATGCCTTTTATCTGCATTTAATATCCCTTGGACCATGCTGTGCTTTCAAAGAAGAGGTGATCAACTACCTTTGCTAGGGAGAAAAGTCACATGAAACAGGGACACTATTAAAAAATATACAAATTGAAGAACAATAAAATAGTAGTAAATGACTAAATATAAACTAATGACTACTAGAAAAAAATAGTAATAAAGACATTATCTAGCCACCCAGCCACAAAAAAGAAAGCGCACCACTATTTATTACAGGAGCTGCAATAGTTCCTAATTTATCCAGTTTTGCTCCCTAGTCTTCCAGCCAACAAACCATAGGCCAAAAATGGTTAATATCTATGAATGTTTTAATTCCAACTGTCATGATTGCAATATTTCTTTGTACACCCTCTTAGCTAACATATACCCTTCTAGCAATATTGTTTGGGCTATAATCATGGCCCTCAAAACTCTAGTGCTCCTTAGCTACTATGTCTCCATATCGTGATCACTTGAGGGCTATTGTCCCTAACAAGACAGACTGACAAGCATATGATCAGAATGGACAGAGGGGATAATAAGGAAATAACTATTTCATCTTTTTCATTCTTCTCTCACATATGCAGTGTTACCTTGACAATCCATATATAGGCTGTTGTCACGTGTCGACACTTTGAGACACAAGCTCGACACATGATCTCATCTGTCGGCTGCCATCATCAATGTCAATACTTTAAATTCAACTGCCCTACAATTTTTCGCATATAATATTGGATCTCCAAATGGCATCACTTACTTTTTGCTTTGGCAAGTCCATGCTTTAACTCCCATGACTTGCAATACTCTCTCTCTCTCTCTCCTATTCTCTAGCAATAAAAAGGTAACCCCCTCTCTCTCTGTACTATTCTCTAGCAATTAAAAGGTAACCACTGCTAACACTGGGAATGGAACCCCACTCAACCTATACCACACCTTCACATGCTATGACATCACCATTACTTGTTGAATGGTAAGAAAGGGATAACTAAATTATATATGCTTAATGTAATTTTCATTAGTTGTAAAAAAATATGTTTGCAATGGGGTTCAAACTCTCAACGCCTTGCATTAAAAACAATCTACCACCTCTCCAAACGCTTAATTAATATTATAAAATGGAAATTATATAAGGGAAAAGTTTATATAAGGTTGAGGTCGTAAACAATCAGGCAACACTCATGTACTGGCAGCAATGGCTACATCAAGATTCAAGGCGAATGTCATCGAAATGAATGACTTTGCCAAACCACCAACTACCAACACACTGCCAAATCCTCACCAGCTACCCTCATAAGCAGTCAGGTTTAGTTTGAGGAGTGTATATGCCCGCCTGTTATAAATAATATATGCCATCACAATGATCATTACCCCTATACATATTCACCATCAACTAGTCATTTGGACTATCAAGACAAACAAAATCCACTAAATTGAGAAATCACAGTTCACAAAAGCATCACGTCCCAACTTCTCCCACCCTTACTACATACTGTCTAAACTTAGTGTAGTCCTACAACGCTGTCAACACATTCCATGCCCTCAAGGGCCCTCGAGGACTTGACATAACAGCAAACAAACTCCTTCTAAGCATGCAGTAGATGCCATTCTTGAGAATGCAACGGCAGCACTCACAGCATCAGAAATCAATACAAACCTGTGAAGTGACCTTTGAATCTTGGTCAAATCCCCACAAAGAACCCATTGATGGTTCTTAATTAGCCCCACTGAAGAATCCTTTGGGTTTCATTGCAAACAAAGGCCACTTCAATATCTTTTGGCACTCATCACTAATATATATCAAACAACAGGGGGCACGTAGTTCCCATGGTCAGGATCATATTGTTCTATCAAGAAGTGATCAAGTACACCAATATGTTACTTGCAACCAATTGTAGCTCATGGTAAGGGTTATTGCCAATGAAAGAAATATGAAAAATAGAAAATGGATCCTTGCAAGTCACTCGCATACAAATACCTACTAGCTGTCAAGTTCAACTTGTTACATAAGGCAATCGTCATTAAAAAGTCTTATTTGATGATGTCGTGCAAATATTAAAACATGATAAAGAATGGCAAAGCCATCAGGACCACCATGAATGTCTCTCATTGTGGCTATGGAATCTAAGAGCATGTTATTTATTGTCTCCCCACCCAACACTTCATTACGATGATGGCTCAAAACAAAAGACTATGTTCTTCCATTAACTGATCTCTGTAAAATTCTGGCACAGTTAACACATTATTGAGCGCATGCTATTTTGAAGAATGGTAGAAATAAGGACATTTAAAAAAAAAATTGTAGAAATAAGAAAGAGGAAATTACATCCTCATATTATGTGAAGTGCTTACGCATCATATCATGCAATATTTAAACCTGCCAAATAGTCTCAATACCCAACCATGTCTAACCTATGAACCCAAACAACTGGATAACTCTAATAGAAAAGGGGAAACGTGTCGCATAACCCAATTAATTCAAATAAGTCACATGACTTGTCTATTAAGCAGCTACCCAAGTCCATAAATTTTCATTCATGAATCATGACGAGCTCTGGAATTTCAAGAAACACAAAAGGTCAATGTAAACGCCCACCATCCTTCAGCGTTGAAAGTTTCGGAGTTTGGGCACTTGTTTTTAGATTTTAGCAAAACAGAAACCCTTGATCCCGAAAGTAGATATCGATATCTACAATGGAAACTTGGTTTCTAGAAATGCAAGCAGGCATGAACTGGTATGCCAATTCACACTTTGAAACATCACTGAAGATGAAAATGGACCTCATGAGACCTAAACTATCAATGCATATACCTCAATAACCAAACTTGAAGAACAAGTTCAGCTAACTCCAAGTATCCAAAATCTACATAAGAACGGTATGGTGTCCTGCCTATTCTGAAAGTCCAACAAAACGTCACATAATGCATGTATGTCTCCTGTGGAAATGATGAGGAGCCTTTTTTTCATCTTTTAAGCAATATGAACTGTTCAACTTTTTTCTCTTTCTTTTTGTTTTTTAGGCAAGTTGGGATTGTTCACCCAGAACAACGAATCCTTTGAACCGCACATCTGCAATATAAAATTTGAGGCTCTCAAATAACACTTTTTTTATTTAAGAACAGAAGTCCCTCACATGAAAACTACTGGAGAAAGGCAGACAAATACCACAAATACAACAAAACTAAAACCCGTGATCCATCAAGTTTCATCTCATCATACAATTTCCACAGTTTATTCCCAGTGCGTAAATAAAATTCATCATAAAACATCCAAAAACTCTGAATAGTAGAAAGTTCAAAATTTCGATAACCTGTTATTAAAATTGTTTATTATCAAGCAAGACACTTTCATTGTAAAATCTAAAACACAAATAGAAAAGGAAAAAGATAAACTTACATCAAATTTACACCTGAAATACTTCAAAAAAGCGTTCTTTCTATAAACTCTTCATCATATATATAAAATCCATCCATTCTGAGCCGCCATCATCTCCCAAAACCAGAAAAACTCTCCAAATAATACATCATCACAAAGCATCTGCAATACTTGATCAAATCGAGAAATTTCCCCAAAAAAATATGCAACCTCTGAATTTCAGATTCCAAAGCTATTAGAGCTTCTCAGGCCTCGTAAAAGCCATGAAAATACCGGTTTTGACACCCGTTGAAAACCGATAATCAGTTCAAATTCCACAACCAAACCAACGGCCCGTCCTATAGCTATGGAGGACTCCCCAAAAAATTGCAGAGAAGAAAACAGATACAAGAAAAATCTCTGTGATTCCAGGGTTTAAAAGAGAAAATTTAGGGTTTCCTAAAAGTTTGAAATGAGTTCCTAGGGTTTATATACAGGAGGACTGCCTCTGCAAAGAGCTGCCAAATGCGGGCAGTCCAGCTCAGCTTCCTCGCATCGTTCGAAAATGTCATTTAATTATAAAACACTAAACCAACCTTTATTTTTAGTAAAACACCCAAAAGTACGGGTGTGAATTGTATAAGGCCATCATCGGCCCCTTTAATTATAAAATTTAAAATTTTAAAATGGATCCCATGTTTATGCGGCCAAGCCGTATAAGTAGAAAATGCGGGCCTTTTAATAAATATGTTTTTGAGATGGATTTTAAGGTTTAATTTTTAAGGACATGTAATCTCTAACATGGAGATCATGAATATGAAAAAATAAATAAATTTTAAAGACTAAAAATAATAATTATAGTAAAAAAACATTTGAACTTTTAGTTTCTATTGTTTTTAGATGCAATACCAACTTGCATTCATCTTTAAAATGGATGCTTTACACTTTCAGGACTGTATATGTAGAAATGCAATCCAGCCCACATGAAACAATTTTCTTTTTAAAATTGGTACATAAAGAACATACCTATAAAAATTAGAAATTTTGAAAAGGAAAATTGTTTCATGCAGGTTGGACCGCATTTCTACAATATGTTGTCCAGAGGTATAAAGCGTTCATCTTAAAGATGGATGCGAACATATGGTCCATCTAAAAACAAGTGTAAATAACAATCTAAATGTTTTCCTAATATAATTATTATCTTTAGTTTACAAAAAAAAAAAGTCATATTCATGATCTCCATGTTAAAGATTGTATATTCTCTAAAAATTATGATCAATTTATATTTAAAAAATATATTTATTGACTAGCCCGCATTTCTACAATATGTGGGCTAGTTGTGTAACGACCCAAATTTTTCTGAGTTAGAGAAAAAGAAAAGACTTACATGACTGTCAAGAGAGAGAGAGGCAGTGCCGACTGTGAAGAGAGAGAGGAAGTACTGTGAAGAGAGAACGGCAGCCGATTGTGAAGAGAGAGGGGCAACGCCGTCTATGTAGAAAGAGAGCTATCGACATGCGTGTAATGGGTAACACCATGCGTGAATGCCGAGGGGAAACCTTTTTATGTTGTGCCTGCATGAGCACCACATGTCACTTGCATGAGCATGAGCATGAGCACCACATGATACTTGCATGAGCATGAGCACCACATGGCACTTACATATCATTTAGCCCTTGCATAAATGACACTTGTCACTTGCATGTTACCTCTCCTTTATGCTTATAAGTACCCCCACATCATCTCTCTCAAGAGTTTTGCATCTTCTCTCTCTCCCACGTTTCCCCCCCTTTAAACCCTTAGAAATTCCAGCTCTTTATGCCCACTGTTGAGAGGCTTGAAGAGTGAGCTGAAGGATTTGGGATCACCATTGGAGTACAAGGTAAGTAGATTATGCTATTATGTGTCCATAATATGAAGCATGATTCTTAAGCATGAAAGTTTGAGATTTAAGCATGAATTTCCATGAATTAAGCATGAATAAAGTGTGAATTTCCATGAATTAAGCATGAATGAAGCATGTATTAGGCTTGAAGTTAATCATCTATGTTTGTGTTATGTTTTTCCAGCAATTAGTTCTTGTTTGTATGATAAGTTGAGCATTGTTATCACTCTTGTGGATCCTGAAATTATGTGAATGATACTTGTGTGAGTCTAGTTTAAGATATAAAATGTTTCATGTTGTTATCTTGTATGGATTTGAAGTTATGGAGTGGTATTTGGAATATGTCATGATTGTACTATGATTTTTCAGGGAATTTACATGCTTTTGTAATGAGATTTTGACTGAACAAATGATATCCAATTGGCATCAAATCACCACCATTTGAAAGGTCTATGAGTTTACTTTGAGTTTGGTGTTTATGACTAGCTGAGATTCTTGATGGTTTGGAAGATATGCTTCATTTTGTGCATATATGTCAATGTTAGTATACTGTGATAATTTTTAGAAATGTTACTTTTGTCGTACTAAGAGTTTGACCAAGCAATTGAAGTCCAAATGACACAAAATTATAGCCATTTGAAAGAGACATGAGTCTACTGTGATTTTGATATTTCAACCCAATTCAAATTTTGTATGATTAGGAAGCTATGATCCAAATTGTGAGGCATGTCGCTCTTAGCAGATTCATTGAAATACCAAATTGTTGCCTCTGTTGCTATGGTTTTGGCTGATTAAATGAAGTCTTATTGCTCCTAAACCACTGCCATCATAAAGATCTGTATGTGTGCTTAAAGTTGCATGTTAGAATCATCTTGATATTCCCTCTAGATTGAGAGTTATGCCTTTGTTAAGAGGGTCAGGTCACTACTAGTAAAATGCAAAAACCCCTAAACTGATGTTTATGTTGTACCTAAGTGTGGACTGATCAAACAACTCTCAATTGACTCCATACCGCTTTTTGAACGAGAGATAGCTGTGTTTACTTCAATTGTGATATTATAACCAAGTTGCGATTCCTTGTAAACCAGATGCTATGCCCATTTTCTGTGAACCTGCCACACCTGAAATAGGGTTTATCATGAAACTGTGAATACTCTTAATTAGTGAATATCATGACACTGTGAATGCTCTGAATCAAATAATGCTTATAAGATGAGACATGTCAAGATGTAATATAAAACACTATGCAATGGGTGACCTATTGTATAGTGGTCAATATCACATCTACTCACACATTCACCGTATACCAACGGTTACATATCACCTCATGTGTACTCAGAAGTCACATATTCCAGTCAATGCAATATGCCCAAAGCATGCAGAGAAATTCCAGATCACGAGAGATATCACTATGTTAACAACCAGTTGTGCAATACACTCAAAGCACGTCAATAAATCACTTATCACAATCATATCATATCACATCACATCGTCACAATGCCAATGTTAGACGATGTAGACTCATTTATATTTTAAATGGCTGTGATTTTGTATCATTTGGACTTCAATTGCTTAGTCAAACTCTCAGTACAATAGAAGTAACATTTCTGAAAATTATCACAGTCTAATAACAGTGACATATATGCATAAAATGAAGCATATCTTTCAAACCACAAAGAATCTCAGCTAGTCATAAACACCAAACTCAAAGTAGATTCATAAACCTTTCAAATGATAGTAATTTGAGGCCAATTGGATATTATTTGTTCAGTCAAAATCTCATTACAAAAGCATGTAAATTCCCTGGAAAATCACAGTATAATCATGACACATTCCAAATACCACACCATAACTTCAAATCCATACAAAATAACAAGATGAAACCTTTTCTATCTTAAATTAGACTCATACAACCATCGTTCACAGAATTTTAGGATCCACAAGAGTGATAACAGTGCCCAACTTGTCATACAAACAAGACATAATTGCTGGAAAAATAGAACACAAACATACATGCTTAACTTCAAGCCTAATCCATGCTTCATTCATGCTTAATTCACACTTTATTCATGAAAATTCATGCTTAAATCTCATACTTTCATGCTTAAAAATCATGCTTCATATTATGAACACATAATAACATAATCTACTTACCTTGTGCGTCAATGGTAATCCAAAATCATTCACACAGCTCACTTTTCAAATCTCTCAACAGTGAGCACAAAGGGTTGGAATTTCTAAGGGTTTAAAGGGGGGAAAATTTAGGAGAGAGAGAAGATGCAAAACTCTTGAGAGGGAGGACGTGAGGGTACTTATAAGCATAAACGGGAGATAACATGCAAGTGACAAGTGTCATTCATGCAAGGGCTAAATGGCATGTAAGTGCCATGTGGCGCTCATGCTCATGCAAGTGACATGTGGTGCTTATGGTCATGCAAGTGTCATGTGGTGCTTATGCTCATGCTCATACTCATGCAAGTGTCATGTGGTGCTCTCGCAAGCACAACATAAAGAGGTTCCCTCCCCTGGCATTCACGCACAGCTTTACCCATTACACGTACGATGATAACTCTCTCTATACACAGACGGTACTGCCCCCTCTCTCTTCACAACCGGCGCTGCCCTTCTCTCTTCACAGCCGGTGTTGCCCCTCTCTCTTCACAGCCGGCACTGCCTGTCTCTTTTCACAGCCGGTGCTGCCTCTCTCTTTCTTCACAACCATTGTAAGTCTTTTCATTTTATCTGACTCAGAATTACAAGTCTCATAGAAACCGTTTGAAAATAGATAATCCATAGATGATGTATTACGAAATGCATTAATTGTCATGATTTGAAATATTTTTTACTTATACATAGATCTTGAAGTCGAGATGATTAATTTGAGGATTTTGTATCATCATGAGTTCCTTAGATGTGACTTACTTCTATAGCATAAAGTGGATGCTTTATATAAACTTTTTTCAAACAAATGAAAATAAATAATCGGTCTCAAAAGGGCTTGGGTCGACCAGCCAGTTTGGGTTCAAGACCTATTACAACAATCCAACCTGAACAAATTTAGGCATGGTTGGGTCCGGGTGACATCAAGCCAACTATATATTTCATCATCAAAACCTTTTCCCAATTAATTAGGATTAGCTTATATAATCAAATATTGAATTTATATTTTATATTATTTTATTTTATTAATATGTCAATCATTTTTACTTGGCTCTAACCCAAACCCATTAGGGTCCAATTGACTTAAATACAACTTACTTGGGTCTGACTTAGACTTAGTTGGATTGGGGTTGAGACTAACCCATGCCCACTTGTTAACAACCTTAACAAATGATTGGTAATAAATACACCAATGTTCCTAATGTCAAAAACTAATATAATGAGTGAAACTATGAAAAAGTGGTGGCAAAAGTAGCCTGGGCGGTGGTACTTGTGGGGCTAACAAGGGTAAAAGTAAAAGCCATGGTACGAGTTAACAAATGGTACTAGAATCATGAATTATTGCGGAATTGCCACTTAGCCCACATTTGAAGTCAATGAGAGTTAATGTCCATGGTCGACTTAGGGAAAGCGACATGAATGAGAAAGCTTTATTATCTCCCTCCAAAAATGGCAAAAATAGCCTTGTTTCAGTTGAGCTACCCAAAAGAAATACTCTGTCT